CCACCTTCTGCTGATTTCGAATACCACTCAAATGATTTTTTCTCATTCTTTTGCGTTCCAACACCGTTTTGATAACAAAAACCAAGATTGCATTGTCCATTAGCATTTCCACCTTCTGCTGATTTCGAATACCACTCAAACGCTTTTTTCTCATCTTTTTGTGTTCCAACACCGTTTTCATAACAAACACCAAGAATAAATTGTCCTTGTGTGAATCCTCCTTCTGCTGATTTCAAATACCACTCAAATGCTTTTTTTTATCTTTGTGTTTCAATTCCATTTAGATAATAAACACCAAGATTGCATTGTCCATTAGCATTTCCACCTTCTGCTGATTTCAAATACCACTCAAATGCTTTTTTCTCGTCTTTTTGTGTTCTAACACCGTTTCGATAACTAAAACCAAGATTGCATTGTCCATTAGCATTTCCACCTTCTGCTGATTTCAAATACCACTCAAATACTTTTTTCTCGTCTTTTTGTATTCCAACACCGTTTTCATAACACCAACCAAATATTTCGTCATCTTTCTTCATTCTATTTTTTTCAAATTGTATATAATGAGCCAAAAGAATTTTTGAAGATCTATCGCTGTTTTTTTTTTTGGTATATAATTCTTCATAAATTAGATAATTAAGCTTAGGCTCATTAATTAATGTTATTTCGTATTGATAACAAAAAAATCAACAAGTAATTTATCTTTATAAATAGATAGTAATGACGTTTTTCTGTTGTTGTCAATTTCATTTTGAATGGCTTGGATTATAAATTTTATTTGTAAAGCTATCTTTTTCAATTCTTCATTTTCGGAAGAAGATATTCGTCGAAAGATTGTTGATAATCCCCCGTGAAGTTTTGAATCATCAAATTCATTAGTGTCTTTACTCATTGTAGGAGCCAAAGGTGTAGATGTATTAATGTTATCGTTATCGAGCGATATTTAAAGATTATACGTAACAATCAATTTATTTGAATCTTGTGAATTAACGAGATTCTTATTGGTTTGAGATCTATTCTGATACGCGTAATTCAAAGAATGAACATACGTAGTACGTATTGTCCATCAGGAATTTAGTGTAACTTGCGGCGAACCAATCAGAAATTCGATATCACATTAGAACATGTAAAAACGAAAATTCATTTTATCGTTACATATAAATGAAGTACATGTACATTACGTACGATATGATGTTTTAATATCTTTTTAAAATCCATGTATAAACATCAAGTGTGCATATACAGTGGCGATCATAAATGCAACAAAAAATTACAATCCGTTAAATCGAAATATTTCGCGCAACTTGGGAAATATCCTTTTTTTTTATTCGTTAATAGTGTCATTTTTAGATATCAAAAATTAAACATGGGTTCATAAGTCAAATACTTCGCAAATAATATCTTTATTCGATTTGGCCTGTTGCATTACTTATGTTCTTTTTTAACACAACGCGAATACAATATATTAAATCGCATTTTTTACATTAGATTTTTTTGTTTTTGTTAATATTAGATAGGATTCTACCCCTACCACTTCGTATAACCACCTCGCGCCTTAATGACATCACGAACCCTTTTTCCGGCATAGAGTGGATTAGGTTAGTGCAAGTTTCAATATCGATTTCTAGCCAAACCTGTTGGATTTATTCCACAGGTCATCCTTGTTCATAATTTGTCCAGGGAGATGCCGAAGACAATAATCGACCTCATTTCACAAGTGTTCAATGGAGTTTAAATCCGAAATTCGAGAACTAATACAGTACCTTTGCCCTATTATTTCTAAACTGTCACTTTGTCAATTTGGCTATAGGTTCAGAATCGTTACCCTGTTGGAAAATGATCTATTTAATAGCAAACTTATGTTTCTTGATTGTATAAATAAAATCTTAACAAAGTATCTGTCGATATAATTTGTCTCATCAATCTTACAAAAGCCACTGACACCACAAAATTCAAAGAAACCCGTATCATCACCGACTACCTTTCTAAACTTCACGGTAGAGGTAATATAGAAGCGATTTAACAGTTCATTTGGATATTTCCAGTAATACTGCTTGACGTTAGGCTCAAAAAATTTAAAATTTGACTCACTTGATCATGTTACCTTTGGCCAGTTTCTGACAGTCTAATTTTCGTACTTTCATGCAAATTCCAATGGATGTTTTCAATGTTCTTCGCTCAGGTAAAGTTTTTTTTAGATTTTTGCTACTATTCCATTGTTCTGAAGTACCTGATGAATAATAGATGTTGAAATATTAATATTATCATCATATCATAAATGTTTTAAGCTTCTGATGATGAGTGAATACCTACAGGAGGTAATAAGGTTGCTGATTTTTTTTTATTGGTTCACTTATAGTGTGTGATTAACCCAGTTTTGCTGCATCTTCAAGGGAGTGTCTTTCACATCATCTTTTATTAATACGGGAAACTGTTGAGGGATCAATATTTTTTAACTTTGCTATTTGCCTTGTAATGTTCCATTTTGGAGAGAAAGGAGAAATTTGAGCCCTTTTTTCTAGAGTCATATGGGCATTTTCACCTTAGCTTTGTGATTAAAAAGCTGTAACATGGTAGAACATATATAAATAATGTGCAATAAATTTTCCTTTTATATGATATTTATGTAGCACGATAATAACCATCTGATTTTTGCATAAACGATCATATGTAATGCAAAACATGTTTTGTATTACTCACGTATTTATCCTGGAATTTGACAGAATACTAAGATTTTAATATATAAAAATGAAAAAAAAGAGGATATCTTCAAAGTTGCGCGAAATATTTCGATTTGACTGATTTTATTTTTTTGTTGCATTATTTATGATCGCCAATGTACATGTACGTATTGACAATTATTTTATTTGTGTTTTAAGCATGCTTTTTTGATTCACCACAATACCCCCATTCGTCAAAATACTTCCTTTCACCTTATACGTGATCACTAAAACCATTTTATAAAGTGAATTCAAAGATGGACACTAATAATACTCACGATTGTATAATTACTACTGCAATGAATGCTCGGTTCACACTACACATGATTGTAGTAAATGTACTCGTTGTCAAGAAAATGATTTCTGCTGGAAATATTCTGAATATCACAAACGAATTTATAATAATAAAATCAATGTAAGTGATAGTACTATAAGGAGAACTTTATGTAGAAATGGTTTTTCTGCTAGAATTAAATGAAAAAAACCATATTAAAAAATAAACACATCGTAAATTGTATTTAAAATTTGCTAAGAAATACAATGATTTTATGGTGGATGATTGGAACAAGGTGATTTGGTCAGACAGGTCTAAGTTTATAATATATTGGTCAGACGGTCGCAAATATTGTTGGAAAGCAAAAATAAATCACTAGATGCCCATAATGTTCAAATTTGGTGGCAAAGTATTATGATTTGGGGGGTTGCTTTTCTTTCTTCGGCGTTGGTAATATTATACGTATTTTTGGCACCATGAATAAGGAATAATACTGCGAAATTTTGAATGGTGACTTGTTAGGAATTATCGAATATTACGAGTTAGATAAGATAACAATTTGAACGGAGCAATGGTTTTATGATAACAATATCGATATACATGTATTAGAATGGCCACCACAATTTCCTGACTTCAACCCTATAGAACATCTCTGGAATGAGATGAATATACGTTTGAGAAATTAGAAAATCCAGTTCATACTCAAGATGAATTATGAATTATGTGAAGCTATTCAAAAATATGGATAGAAACGGATCATGAATTTTTAACTAGTCTAATTGAAAATATGCCCGAACGAATAAATGATGTAATTGAGACTAAAGGAGGGGTATACAGAATAGTAATGAATATCAATTTTAAATTATTTACATTGTAAACAGGCATCATGTAAAATTGCATCGATCATTATTATTTTAATTTACTAATTATTAACCAAGTAAAGAATTATATTTACATGTTTTTGCAAATTTGGTAAATAATATGTGTCGAAATTTGTGAGTTTCAGGTTTGTCTGTAATGTTACATGTATTGAATTTCTAATTTTATTTTTTGTGATGCAAAACATTTGACAGTCACTGTACGTATTGATTATAGATATCATAGTGTTATTGGAATTTCAATGATAAATTATAATTTAGTTATTATAGTTTGATTTTCTTTTAAGTTTAAATTTGTGTAAAAAAGGGGTAGTTATTTTCGAAAATATACGGTGAACACTTTTTTAAGCAATTGTCCAATCTATATCTGCATATCAATATATAATGATAGCAATAATCATCTGTTAGTAAAAATTTACATTTCGAAGAAAAATTAACGTTAAAAATCAATAGTTCGCTTTTATCATATCTATTCTTGAAATCATACTAAATCAGATTTTCATTTTTTTTATCGATTATTCACAAGTGTGCTTAATTGTATTGTGTTTATTTTGTTGACCTTATATAACAGTGTTGGATTTTCCAATGAAATGTCATTATGTTGTAATGACATTATCATTAGTGATAGAGAGAATAAGGTAGTGACAATAACGTATTAGACAATCAACAACAATATGAGTAAAATCATATAATAATATTTCCAGTGTGAAGGTCACAATATATAAGTTTTTTTTTGACGAATTTCATCATAATTGAGAATAAATTTCTTGATTATTCAATTTTTCATATTGGAATTAACCTATCACCATCTTTTACATAAATGTATTTCAGTATCACATACTAATACTGTAATTACATATATATGTATTACCGAAATTTCAAAATGAATTGTCACTTTGGAACCCAATATCTCGACACCCAGTAATCCCATTTGAACAAAGATATTACCATTAGATTTGTCTCAAATATAGGAATAAAGAAAGTTAGTTGTATGCGTATGAATCGACATATTAATGTATTAACAGTGTTCACCTGTTCCGTGACTTCATTTATTAATCCCTGAATATATAAATTTTTTTATTATAATTGTTGTTTTCTTCACAACACCATCTCTGCTATCTCTTTCATACAATGAACGAAAGTTCAGAATACAAATTTTCTTATATTGTTAGTTTGAAATCAGAAGTTAGTTCGGAATCAAGTACTGAAATGTGTAAGATTATCTAGTGTAATTGTTTTGCATTTTCGTATAGCTACTTTTAACTTTTTCTCAACAGATTATACGTTAATTTCTACTTGCGAATATGAAACTGTGTCCTTGTATTCAGGCAAGATATTTTCCACATGGAAGACTTGCGAAAGGTTACTTAATGAATATGCTAAAGAACAAGGTTTTCATATAGTTAAGGACCGGGTTTATCGCGCGAAGATGGCGTTATTTGTCGACAAACATTTTTATGTGATCACAGTCATTCTTATGATTCAACTTCAAGTAAGTACACTAAAACGAAAAAGACACGATGTCCTTTTCTTGTTAATACCTCTTGTTCAAAGATCAAGAATCCTGCGCACTTAAAGGTGTGCATTTATAGAGAGTAAAATATATATGTCTTATAACGTGCATTTATAGAGGATGCACTTAGAGCGGTTTTACTGTAGTTTAAATAAAAATAAAATTGATTTAACTATTAGTTATTATTAATTCCTTAAATGAGTTTTGATTATGTTATAAATTATCCTTTTTTCATAAAATATAAATACTGTATCGATATCGATATCGAAATAAGTACACTCAGTGGAAAAAGTCACTGAACACTTTACATATATTGCTGAGAAAAGGTATAGCAAAATAATCATAAATTTTTGTTTACAGATAGTTTAAGTATTCGTAAATCATGACATAATGTAATAGCTGCAAATATCAATATAATAATATTTTTCAATTTTTTGTTGGAATACACAAAAATTGTGCGAAGGTTTAAACTAGGCATGTTTTGCAGTTTACAGTGGTTTAAGTAAAATTGCTAACTATTTTTATAAAATTTATTAACAAATTTAATTTATAATAATTTAATTTATAATTTTGCTTAGTAACTTTATAAAAAATATAATCACAATTTCATTAAAACTGGTTCAAACTAATGGTTCAAAGCATGGTTCAAACCAATGGTTTAAATGAAATTACTCATTTTTTATCGAAATAATTATATTTTTTGTAATAAGTAAATTTTTTGTTAATTAATTTTGCTTAGAAGCTCAAAAAAATGTAATTATGTCAAAAGTTAGCAATTTAAGTAGAGTAACTAAACTGATAACATGCCTAGTTTAAACTAACATATATATTTTAGGACTCTCCGTATTTCTTAAGTTTAAAAAGAATCCAAGTTTTAAATTTCATGCCGTGGTTGCTGAGATATTATCTTTTTTTAAAAAAATACAATTACCGATCACAAACTTTATTATTGATTTGCGCGATTTTTAAAATGCTAGGCATTGTTTTAAAAACTATTGCATGGATTTTCTGGATCTTGGATATTCCAAATATCCTGTTTACATGAAAATTTATTAAACTTTCAAATATTTTTACTTTTAAAAATGTCCGGCAACTTTTCCATCGAGTGTACAAGATAAATATAAATTTTTTTCGGCAATACAATCATATCATATTTACCCATATCAATATTTTTTTTATACGTAACTATGTACACGTAATAAAATACATAATGATAATGATAATAATTGTACCTGAAATATTAGATGTTGTTAGTTTGAGTCGGTTCAGTTGAGTAGGTCAGAAGCTTATGAAACTGGTTTATTGGAACTGTGTCTATCATTTGTTCAAACCGTAAACTATCAGTTCTAAATACGCATAAATAATCACCCAACTGCAGTTTACGTACACCAGTCGAATCTTTACCAATTCTACAATAATTACATTTACGTATTTCTAAATATAAATTATATTGACATATTAATTAAATTTATTTTTTAAACTTGTTTATATACAACACTTACCTAAAACTTGAGCATATATTAAAGTACTTATATGTATGAAAAAATTACGGTTCCCAAAAATAATTTGGATATTTCACATAAATACCGAAATTAATTACGTCATTTAGACCCCATCTATAACACTAGCATATGTGGCCACTGAATATTGATGATGACTTTATCAATTTATGTGTTCCACGCAAAGCAAATGGTGGTTTATTCACGTCTTTGTGTAAATGGGTATTTATATATATATTATTCTTTAATAATTTATTACATTGATGCTAGTAGAAATTTGCATATGAAAACATCATTAGTTTCATCTACAATTACGCGTAATAGTAATGGGTATAGTATTGCGAAGTTACAATACCAGTTTTTCTTATTAATATAAATTGACTGAATACTAATTTATTAAAAACTCAATTTTCAATAACATGCTTACGATCCCAATTACATGTACAATGACTACACTATCAGAATTTACACCAACAACTTAAACAAACTTTCATCAAGAGATATTCGATAGGGACGTTGACAAACAGGTACATTATTAATAAATGAATGATGTAAAAGAAACTTTTTTACGAGGCTCATTTCATTGTGTCAAAAGCTTTTTCGTTACTTACAGCTTTCTGTTTGTTGGTTTCCATTGATGCGATTTGTCTTCAGTCGACTTGCTCATAATCTTCGTTTTACAATTGAATATTTGAATCAAGTTTCTTTTCGTATGTTTTTGCATATTTATTAAGATAATTTATTAACTTCATGATGCACAACAGTGCGGTCATTTAACTTTTAATCAATTTGTGTTTTCCGAACAATTTTCATATTGCAACTTTTGCGTTTATTCCGAGTACATGTATTAATTCGCGAAACATAAATTGGGCTTTTCTTTCTTTCTTTGCACTCGATAATCTACTAATAATTATCCTTTCTTTTAATTTACAGATTACTTCGCGCATGTTTTATCTCTCGTATTAAACCTGGAGAATGTTACTTATTTGTGCAAGTGATACAAAGCGCGTGACAAATACATTTTAATGGTTTTATGAGCCAAGGTTAGGGTTAGAGTTAGAGATAGGATTATATGCAAACTCACTTCCCGACATTTTTAATTTAGTATTTCAAGTTAGATTTTTCTTTTCTTATGTTTGCCGGGGGGGCTGATCAACAATTTACACCCCCCCCCCCCAAAATCGTTATTCTGGAATATCTATTTTAAGCTTGTATCACTTGCACAAATAAGTATACGTGAGAACGGGATCTACAAAGACGAGTCTGGTACCGTATCAATGCAACCGGCGAGAAAACCGGCAACCCACACCAATCGTATTCCGGTCACAATAACCACAACCAGCTACAGAGACGAGACGCGATTATATATACATGTAGCCTTCAAAATTGGTCACTGCGTTAATAATGTTTTCGTAATCGCTTTGCCGACGACGGCTTGGAGTCGACATCACGTAAAAAGTTGCATCGAATTTAGCATTCGGACGAAAAGTTTCAGCATAGTGGTAAATAATGTATTATGTTTCTTTACTGAGAAAATGGTTCAAGTTTTTGCTGAATTTTAGAACGCTTGACAGAGATTAATCTACCAACGTGCTGGGGAAAGGGGAAAAGTATAATAACCAATTGCAAATCGTTTTATAAACTAGCACTGGAATGGAACTCGCAACTTGAAGAATAATATCAAAGTCAAAAGATACAATTCGGTATCATCCACCTTCTAATGAAAACAAAACAGTGAAAGTGGTAGTTAAGATACCAGAAACAATAAAATGTTCTAGTAGCAACGAAAATTTTGTGTCGAGAATCCGCATGTTTCTACTATTACTGATAATAATACTAATCGCAGAATATCAAATTCAAATTCGAAAATTTACTAGTGCACTACTATTAAAACATAGACCAAGTCTGTAAGGCAACAACAATAACATAAATGGGAGCGTGTCATAAGCAGAACAGAATGTTAAACGTATTCTACAAAACGATCCGAATTTTCCTTACTACCATATTAATCAGAATTGTAATTGAAAAACAACAATAACGATAACGATAACAAAGAGAAAACATCAGCCAGATGATATTTGAAAACTACCTCCAACAACACCCGCGCAACTCGTAATAACGATAATACGCAAATTGCCACATGCCGGGTAGCACAAACCAATAAGGATGCGCAAATGTTATCAGCCCGGCAAAACAAAGAAAATAGAAAATGCGAAAAATCTCCAAATCTAGCTTGGAAGCAATTTTACTTGTAACTTTGAACTCGAATTCTGACCTTATAAATAACCTTTAGTTAGCGCTGAATTTTTCTGAAGCTGTTGGAGTAGTCAACGATAGTTTTGAAAAGAATTCGCGTGTCCGATAAATAGCGATAGCGTTTCTTTATTCTATATTTATGTTCTTAAACGAATACGAATATTCTACTTTATCAAAGCTGCACATGCATGCATGCATGCATACTATTCTTGATCTATGAGCTAAACAAGTTTTGATTGCCATATTGATATTAATTCAAATTACTACCACTACCGCTACGTATTTCCTCTATTTATAGACACACATACATGTATAAATGTGTATCATAAATCACATTTGTATCGTTTAGCAAATATTGACTGTCTCCTATAAAAACAGCATTTTTTATTAAATTTTGAAAAACATTAATTAACAAAATGTCGAATGGTATAACTATTGATAAAGAGAGAATAGTTCTGAATGTTGGCGGGTCAAAAGTAAGTAAAGGTTAGAATAAAATTATTTTGAAATATTAGTAGCATAGCATATAAACAAAACTTTCGTATTTCCAGTATGAGACATATCGATCAACATTGATTCGATACCCAGACTCGCTTCTTGGCAGAATGTTTCATGAAAGAAACCGAGAAATGCTGCACCCAACAAACGGCAACGAGTATTTCATCGACCGGAACGGTCTAGCATTCAGATTCATCCTAGAATACTACCGAACCGGAAAAGTCCCATGGCAGGATGTGAACAACGGCGGCGGCGTAACACGTCTCGAACTCGAAGAAGAACTAGACTACTTCCAAATTTCAAGCGAACCGCCTTCGGGACTGAACAAATTCACATTCGAAGAAGCCACCGAAATATTGGATGATTTCACACGAACGATGAAACAAGTAATCGAGGAAATGCGACGAAATTTCCGGACTGTTATCACGATAATTTTCCCCGTGTGTGATTTCGATCGGTTTTCCGTATATCCGCAGTTGTCGTCGGTGTTGCCGCTAGTTGAGCCGTTTAAAGAGAATGGGTCACCGATTTTACATAATTTTGGGGATCCTATTAAGAAACATTTGCATGGAGAGTATCCAGGATTGAGTTGCTCGATCACTTTTCAGGGAAGTATTCGCGATGAGGGCGTTTACAAGTGGCGAATGGAGATGCCGGCACGTTATAAAGTTAAGAGTATCATTGAAGCTTCTTCATTGAATTCTCTTCCCGTCTATATCAAAGAAAGATAAATACGATTTTTAATTATTTAAACTATAATCACATTCAGGTTAAGTATTGTAATTTTTTCATTTAGTCGTCTCAGAAAAATAATTCAATACAATCTCACATGTGTTCTTTTAAGTAACCTTACCGCAAGTGTTTCAAGATAGATAAAAAACAATCACTATTTTCAGTTTCTTCCTAAACCCCCATCACATACGTTTCTTAATAACAATAACCCATACTTTAATTATACATATACAAAATATGCTAGACCTATTAAACCGGGGGATCTTCTCAGCAAATACTGTACATGCAACAGATTTAATGTGTGAAGCAAAAATTTTAAAAATCCGTTATAACGATAACGTTAACGTAACGTTAATGTGAATTTAATTATTAATGCGTTAACTAGCGCTAGGGTCAGGTGTAGAATCCACATTTGTTGACTGCAAAAATTTTCATAACTGCATCGTTGAAAAATATCAAAAGAAATTATATACACAGATGCTGTTTCAAATATTTCAAGGAATACTGGATAAATAGTTGTAATAAATCTGGCAAAACTTTGAAAGCAAACGTTCCATAATTTTATTTATAGGGATTAATGTTACCAGAGTTAAAAAGAACATCATCATCAAGACCCCATGTACAAAAAAGTCTGATATGTCTGTAAAAGGTCACTTTTTACATGCACATAACACGTAAATCGCGTAAGTTGTCCTATATTACATGCTCAATTATGTGTTTTTATGTCTATAAAACACACATTTATGTGTATTTTACAGACATATACCATTTCTTATATTTCCACATTTTATTACAGACATATATTAAAATTTACAGACGTATTTTGCTTAAATATATTTCAAAAGTGATATTATTTTCGGATTGACTCCAATTCACCCTGAACTTGGTTCCGGCTAGCAAAAACATCATATCCAGTTGGTAGACTTTACATGGGCTGTAATAAAAATTTCACTATATGTTCTTGATATTAGCGTTAGCTAATAAATGATACTCAATAAATGTAACAAATATCATTGAAGAACCAATTTTGCACATGCTTTTTAATCATCGAAAATAAACAAATTTAAATGCTTTCAAAGTAGCACATTGAATATAAAAAGTTAGATAAATATAAGAATGATAATTATATTGATATATTTAATATACCGATAATGATAAGATGCGCAATTCCGACAATTGATACAATTTCGGCTTGTATACAATACACTTGGAATGTTCTCTATGCTAGACGAGATCACTTGTTCTATAGCCATATACAAATACGCTTTGATTAGGACTAAAACTGTTTCAAATTGGTAATGCCAAGCAACAGCAGACTAAGCAGCTCCGGCACGATAACGAACACATAAAATGGCCACACATTTGTATTCACATACGATTCGTCAGGACCGAACCAACTCACTATCTTAAACAGCATTCTAATCACCAACAATGCAACACTTGACGCCAATATCGTGCTCTTCCTTTCTTTCCTCGTATCTACAATCTTAGGCACTAAATACGCTGTCAACATCCAATGAACAATCAACATTATCGTGTTGCCAACGATTGAAACCTTAATGAATATTAAGCCACTATAGTATTCATGGTATTCATAGTATTCATATGCATCTTGCATCTTTATGATGCCAATAATCCAAGAGATAGAAAATATCGGAAGTGAAATCAGTGCTAAGATGAATGGAATTCGCTCATAATGGTTCAATGTATTCGGAGTCACCCAACTAAACAACAGCACATATAGGACCTCGATAACTAAGAAAATCCCGCCATTTTGTAATATGCTTGGTGCTAATATAATAAATCGCGAGCTAGTATATGGGCCAATTAACCTTATAAGGTAGAGATGGCAAATGCGACTACTTCCATGATAGAGAATATGGCGAGTGTGAGGTAAGTCTTAGCATAGTTGTATATGAGACGTTCGGTTATTATGATTGATATTAAAAAGAAGAGGACGATGAAGACGATGCTGATGTTAATCTCTTCATCCATTGCAATTTAAATCCCCACAAGAAACTCAATGTTAAGAATGAATGCGATGACTACAATCGAATCTTCATAAAAGAACACAATTGGGACGTTCTATTTATTATTGAAATATATTATTCTATAAAAAAGATACACGTATTATTTATATCGATATTAAACTTCTAATGACTTGATTTTTTTAAGAATAGCATTGTTCACTTACTATAATAGCGATAGGGGTTTATTGATGATTCTAAATTACCTAAGTCGTGACCTCTGAGGTCATGTTTCACAAAATACAGTAGCAACCATAAGTATCCGCCCATCATTGTGAACGTAACGGTAAAGCATAACACTGTACATTCATAGACATTTTTAAGGGGTTAAATTAATCATTAAACTTTACGTTAAAAAATGGCGCTTTCTCTTGAAAAACGATATGAAATTGTCTTTTTACATTAAAATTCTGCTGGACCAAAGTGGAGTTTTGAAAAAATAGCTAACCATGTTTTCTTTAGTAAGTCCAGTCATTTATTGGGTCCAAAAATACCATGAAAACTGATATCTAAGTAATGAAAAAGATCAGGTCAGCCACAACGAAGCAATGTGAACAAATAAAAAAGATGGCGGAGAGTATCCAGATACAACAAAATATGGAAAAACAATGTGTTGACTGTAAATAGGGATAGAAATTGATTCTCAATTCTAAATTGATTAATGATTTCGATTAATTCAATCCAAAATCGATTCTCAAGTAGATCTACGTACGTATATACATGTATGTACAATGGCCCGCAACCACTTGCATTGTCGATCATTAATCACACAAATTAATCACACAACACAATTCTCAATCACGAAAAGAGCCGACCATATAAGTAAATAAAAAACGAACAGACATTATTATTTCCAATTAATCCTCCAAAACACCAGTGCGTTTTTTTTGCCGTTTTTTGGACGAAAATTTACTCGTTCATATATCTTATTAAAAAATAATAATAAAATAAAAAATTATTACAAAACATTATTTTTACCACCTTGTATAACCCCTTCGCTTCAATCACATCATTAATCCTTTCCGGCATCGTATTAATTAGATTAATACAACGATCAATTTCGATGTCATTCCAAGCCTCTTCTAACCTTTCTCAAAGATCATTTTTATTAGAAATTACACTCGGGTGAGCACGAAGACGAACATCCACATCATGCCATAAGTTTTCAATAGGACTTAGATCAGGTGACTGCGGCGGCCAGTTACATTATTGTTTTTAAACCAGGTCACCGTTTTATTCGCGGTGTGCTTCGGATCGTTGTCCTGTTGAAACATAAAGTCATTTAACTTTAAATTATACAGATCTAAGGACAACAGAAGTTCGTTTGAGAGGATTTGTCGATAATATTCGCCGTCCATTATTCCATCGAAGGTATCCAGTGCCGTTAACACCGAAGCAACCCAATACCATTATACTACCACCGCCGAACTTGACCGTAGGTTGAATGTGAGCACTTTTTAGTGGTTCGTTTTGTTTTTTCCAGCAGTATTGGAGTCCGTCAGATCTGAATATTTGAAATTTTGATTCGTCTGACCACACCACTCGTGACCAATCATCAACCGTCCAACCTTTATATTTTTTTGCAAAAGCCAGTCGCTTTTCGTAATGTTCAGGTGATAGATATGGTTTACCCACGCCACCATACCATGTCTACCTAAAGCCCTACGTATAATACTAACCTCCACTTCAATATTTTCATGTGTTAATAATGATTTTTTGAGTTGCACCGCATTGGAACATTCACCCGTTATAATTCGCCGGACAAGTACTCGTTCATCACGTATATTAAGTTTTGGCGGACGACCTGGTTTGTTTATTTTTACTTTTGGTTTCTTCATATTTTTTTTAAGTCGTAGTATAGTTGAATGGTGAACTTTATAACGAAGAGCAATATTTCGGGCATTATATCCTTCTTGAAGTAATACGATTACTTGAGCGCGTTGTCCATATGTAAGTTGCAACATAATACGATTACTTGAGCGCGTTGTCCATATGTAAGTTGCAACATAATACGATTACTTGAGCGCGTTGTCCATATGT